ACCTTTCTTTCCCATTCTGACATTCAGTTTGGAGTTCAGGAGATTGTCTTGACCAGGACCACACCCCTAAATGCATTGAAGCAACTGCCATGTGATTGGTTGATTAGATAATTGCATTAATGAGAAATTGAACAGGTGTTCCTAATAATCCTTAGGTGAGTGTATGCTTGGTATGCAAGTCAGACAGGAAGAATTACTGCCTCAAACATACCTGCAGTCTTTGCCACCAGTTTGGAAAAGCCAGCCCCGATAGTTGTTAAAACACAAAAGTGCAACCCAGAACAGGTGGGGTACAGAGCATGAGATTGATGCTCAAAAGTCCTACCTTCACACCAGAGCCAAGCATCACACAAACTTACATTCATCACTGGAAAAGTTCAGCTAAATTTCCACTCCTAAAAAAAAACCAACTGTTTATTATAAACCAGTTTCCACATATTCGTATTGTATCATCTGTTTTCAATAGACGTATTTAGGTGTACAAACATGTCATAAAAACTAATATACATCTACAATAGTGATATAGATGTCTACAACAATAATATGCATATTTACAACATTAAAATGAAACAGTTTTAACAGGCACATTATTCATTTTCATCTGGGTTTACAACCACACTGGGACACATGTTCAGAAATATACATTCACTATCTTGTCAAGAAGTGTCGTCTCCACCCCCTCACATGGCAGTAACGAACTAACTGGTATTCTCTTATGTAACATTGTGTACTTGTTGCGCATACCGCCAATCACCTTTTCAACACGCATCCTCAGGTGTGCCATCGCTGGCGTGTTTTCCACATCCTTAGCATCGAGTTGACATCTTCCTTTATTGAACGCAGGAACTTTGACCTCTGCACACATCAACCCCGCACGATCCTTGACATCGAAGCCTCGATCAGCACTATGTCACCAGGTAACAGTTTGTTCAGAAGGCCGCAGTTCTCAGTTATGTGCCTGTCGGAGGCACTCCCACGCCATCCCTTGGAAATAAATGATATGGCACCTTGTGGTGTAATACCAATGAGGTATTTCATGGTGTGTGTACCTTTGTAATGAGAAAAGGCCTGCGCACGTGCCTTTAGACTTGACGGTCTTTCTGTGCGTATTTCAAAGCACTCGACTATAATAGCAACACGTTTACCAAAAGCTTCCAAACATTGATGTGGCATTGTGGCTTGTAAGCAATGCCTCTCTGGCCAGTACACCAATGGATTAAGCCGCGCATTCAAAACATCTATGGTGTCATTAAAGGCAGTGGAAAGAGTTGCACGTGAAACATTAAAGAGATGGGCAAGGTGCTGTACAGGAAGATCAAGCCTCAGACGTATGAGTGTCAACAAAAGCATTTGAAAGGATGACAACTTTTTGGAAACTGGCAGGAAACACTTAACATTGGTGAACAATGACAATAAAATGGCAAAGCATGGAAGTCCTGTGTAGTACCTGACCTTGTTTGTGTTGCCCTTTAAGAAGAAGAGTGGTTTTCTGTCAGTCCATTTTAATTTCCTTCCCGTTTATGAATGCCTTATTTCCCACAAAGTATGCCGTTTCTCCTCTCTTTCTTGCTGCCTCCACAGCTGGCCATAAGCGGGTGATTCTGTCATCTGAAGTCAGGTCCTCTTTGAAGTGGAGCCGGTTGTTCTTCAGGTCATTGTTGTTCTTAGATCCTCTCCACAACAAATCTCCGGCCGTTCGTGACAGGAACCTGATGATTACTAGTCGCACCGACTGGTTGGGTCCTCCATCTTTGGGTCTGCCGATTCTATGAACCACATCTATTGTAGTTACTACCTTCTCGGACTCGGAGACACTCGGCACGGCCCGACAGATGTCTTGGACTCGTGATCGGATGTTATCCTCTTCTTTTTCAGGACCGCCGTGAAGGCTGGGGTTATAACGTTGGCTGTAACAATAGACTTCATTGACTTTAAGTTCTATCTCTGACTTTTTTCTGGAGTTGCTCACATTTGTCTCTGAGAGCAATGTTGTTTTTTCAAACCCACTACTTCCTTATGGCAAAAGTCCAACGACCGTCTATCTTAACAGTATTGTAGTGGACAGCTTTATCAGTTTGGTCAGCTCTTTCATTTATCTTCCCAAAGACAGCTGTAATTATAGTGTATGTTAGCTCAGAGTGTTGGCTCCTCGTTTACAGCCTTGTAAAAGTGTGTGTTCTCTTTTTGGTTACCTTCAGGTCTTTTAGTTGGCCGTTTCACCGGCGTGTTCTGAGAAGAAGTGCATTCTTCATAATTTTCAGAGAAGTGAATCTCTCTTATGTTTCGTTTTTTGGTTAATAACTGCCACGTCCATATCTTCCAGCCTAAGGAGCTCCTCTTCGCCCGGGTTTTCCATCGTTGTAAACAATGGTGAATTATTAGGGGGAAAGGTCTTCTTCAAAGATATCTATCCACTTACTTTGGCAACAAGTGGCTCATTTAAGAAAAGTCCGTGCAGAAATGCCACATTTCATACGACTAGACATGCATTGGATGGGTTAAAAAGTTTATTTATCTTAAGAAGGAGCAAGATTTTCTCTTCATCCTGCAGTTTATCACAAACATTCAAACTCACTACATCAGGAAAAATGCCTACATGGTTTCCACTGGACAGGAAGGGGATAAATAGTTGTAATCTGTACAGTAACCAGAGCTGTCAGATAAATGTAGGGGATTGAAAAGAACAATATTTGCCTCTGAGATGTGGTGGAGTTAAAAGTATAAAGTCACCACCAACCGCCATCTTGATTCGGCCCCCTCAGCCCTGCTTATAAAATCTCCACTGTGTCCGCGTCTTGTTTTTATATAACTTACAGTCTATAGTCTTGTTGGTTGTATATAAAATAAAAACATAGTAATAGTTAACAGCTCTCTATGTGTCTCTCTGAAAAATGCTAAAAGGGGTCGCCAAATAAAACGTTACCTGGGCGACCCGCCCAAATGTTAAAGTCTGTCTGTGGGAAACGCTCCAGACAGACAGTGTTGAGTCAAGTTTAATTTATTTATTTAATACTTTGACACTCACCTGAATGAAAATGTCTGGAACACACTTTTACCGATCTTGGGATGCTGGAAAACTCGATGTCTGTACGTCCGACGGCTGATATCCAAGACAGCCGGCGTCTCTCTGTCACGTCCGACACATAGCTCCCTTGATTCTGCCTCCGCCGGTGTTATGCTGAGTTTTGCCTGCCTGCCGAGAATTGCTTTTAAACGTTGCCACATTTCATAGGACTAGACATGCATTGGATGGGTTAAATAGGGGTTAAATAGTTTATTTATCTTAAGAAGGAGGAGGATTTTCTCTTCATCCTGCAGTTTATCACAAACATTCAAAATCACTACATCAGGAGATATGCCTACATGGTTTTCACTGGACAGGAAAGGGATAAATTAGTTGGAATCTGTAAAGTAACCAGAGCTGTCAGATAAATGTAGGGGATTGAAAAGAACAATATTTGGCTCTGAGATGTGGTGGAGTTAGAAGTATAAAGTCACATAACATGTAAAGTCAAGAAACATACAAGCACCTTGACCACAAAAGTACAGCACCATCATAAATGTACTTATTCCCCCACTGTTTAAAGTACCCATTTACCTTTTTTCTTATTTGTCTTGTGTGAACTCAACACTGGCTCTAAAAGTCATCTGTATGTTGACTTGTTAAATAAAGTTGCTTGCAAACAATGGAAGATATGGCGTTAGGAGTAAATATGCCTCACGTTACTGTACCATTGTATATTATTATTACTACGTCAAAACAGAACAGTTACAGTGGACTACAATTCATCTATTAACATCACAGTGCTCTTTTTTCAGTCCCTGAGCTAATACTGACCTGTGAGCACCGACTACGTGAATTTATAAAACATTTCCCAGGAGAAAAGAAACGTTGTTATTTAAGTATTTCCTCTTTTCCCATTTAAGTTAGCCTGTCATCAGTCTGTCTGTGGCTCTGCTGACTGACTTTTACCTTTACAAACGACCAGATAACGCATATCTCTCAGAAATGCTTCGCATTTCTGCATTTCGCCAAAGTAAATATCACCCCTTCTCCAAAAGAAAAACACAGTCTACCAACAATAAATTAGTTTCACACTTGAGTTTGTTTTCTTCTATTTACAAGTGCAGCAACTTGCTCTCTCTTTGACCTCCGGCGTCTGATAGCGCGGGTCAGTGTGAGCTGTCCACTGCAGATAAACACACACAGCAGCGCTTACTCTTGCCAATGGAAACAAGAACACTAGATAAGGACAGAAAAGTTTGTGCGTAGATGCAGAGTTTAAACCAGTGGTTTTCTTTTCAGTTTGTGGTAGATTTAGAAAACTGAATATATAAACTCCATATCTTACTCCAATAAAGACCAAAATTATCACGAAGAAAGATAGCCCAGCTTTACATACGTAAAGGATATGTAGTCTGTAAAAATGTATGTTGGACAAACGTTTATGTGTGTTTCTCAGAATCTATTAGTCTACCCTCATTGATGTAAAAACACCTCTCAGTAAACACACAATTATTTGACAGCACCACAAACTACAGCCTCCAAAATAATCATAAAGCTAAAGTATAAGCACCTCAAACAGGACATTACCTTCATGAAGCTATTTATTGCAGGGATCTTAGATTAGACTGCCTTAGATTTAGCAAGGCATACATAAACATCCATATTTGGCAATTACTTTTTGATATTTAATTAATTATGTGAGCATGATGCATCATAATACATGAGTAAGTCTGGCTTCTTTTTCTTTATTAGTAAACTTTAGAGAGCAATATCTTCTTATCTGGTGACGTATTCAGTACTGTTTCTACTGTGCATTAATTTAGAGCGGTGATTAAACTTGTCCCATTCTTTGCCTCCAACTCTTCAGTTATTTCTTTACATGTTGCGAAAGAATAATTGCCAAAAACAGCAATAGATATAGACATATTCATCAAACATATTTTATAATATACGCATACTGCACAATGCAGGAGAAAGAACAAATGACTCAGTCTCCTTGATTAAAGCTTTTATACATAAAACATACGGAGTCCCAGGTTTACAGTTGTGTTCAAAAGCTTACACGTCTCCCTCTCACGTACATAATCAACATTAATACACTCAACTGTGTAAATAACAAGACAGGAAAGACAAAACAATCATTCTTTGTACAAGGCAGGTATGTTTTTGGCTGTTTTTAAGTAGAACTGAAACCCAGAAAAGGGTCAGACCGATCTGTCTGTTTGCAGATATTCTTCATGTAACTGAATTTCACATGTCGTAGGTTTTTAGTTCAGGATTGTGATATGATGGAAGATGCTCCCTAATTAAAGTGTGGACTGGGGAAGTGCATTTAACTCATTCATGTATATTCATTTAAAAGCAATAATTCTCCTATATTGAAGAGTTCATAATGTTCTACAGTTTTGGACACCCAGACCCAAGAGACACAGTGGTCACAGTGGTATTTTGGCAGAAAAACATACATGTTATAAAATAAACAATTAAACAAAAACATTAATGGACAATCATTATTTACATGAGTCCCAACTCCAAGATGAAAATGCTCTTTATCATCTGGAGATGGGGGTCGGGACGCAAACAAGGGATTGCAAACTAAATCTGAAGGGTTGTGAGATGATTGACCAGGGGAGGAAAGCATGAAATGTATTTCTGCTACATAAAGCTTTTTTTCTTGAACAACTGGATTGTTTATACTGTAACAACTGTTAAAAAAAAACAAGTAGCTTATTTTAAAGGCCAATTTATACATCTGCTACGTACACTACACCGTAGCCTGACACGTACCTCCCAAAAATGTAACTACACAACACAGACCGCAAGAACTGTGATTGGGCGGCTTGATATCATCACATTTCCTAATACGAATTTCCAGCTTGTCCTTCTTCACCGCCATTTCCAAATTCAGTCCGATGCTCATTTCTGTTTTTGGTAATTTCACTAAAAATGACTGCTGTTCAACATCGATCAGTTTCAGTCGCCATTGTTTGTAGTAGCCTACAGCAACGAAGAAGAAGAAACTCAACACAGTGGAACATAGAAACCACCGCCAACTAACGTTTTGGCGTTGGAATTGCAGAGTGACGCAGACACCAATGCACAAATGCTCAGGACGGCATGTAGCCTACGGCGTCGACTCGACGCAGAAGTATAAATTGGGGTCACAAGCCAAAAAGGTTGGGAACCACTGTGGCATCATGTCTTACTTAAATTCACCAACAGGAGACTGACAGGAACATTTAATTCCAAATCCGTAGTTAATATCCAACGTGAAATAAACGTGGTATCAGGTCTGCCTAGTCTGCACCCTTGGACTTAAGGCCCATTTATACTCCTGCGTAGGGTCTACATGCGTAGCCTACGGCGTAGGTACAGCCATGCATTTATACTTGTGTGTAGGTCTGTCCGTCATTCTGCAATTACACCCCCCAAACGCTAGTCGGCAGTAGCGCTACAGCATCCACGGTGTTGACTTTTGCCGGTCGAACTTCCGGTTTAGCTGCTGGTGTGGCCTTTTCAAATGTTACTGACCGAATGGATCACAAGTCTGATAGCGAAATGAGTCATTTTGCCCGGGTTGTGATGGTCAGATATATTGATTCACTGTGTTACAGCCGCCGTTTTGGCCGTTAGTAAATGTTACTTTAAAGCGCGGGGTACTTCCGGTCGGCTCGGAGGCATTGTGAGGCTACCCACCCGACCAATCAAAGACCTTACAGTCTGCGTCGACTTGACGTGTAGTTACATTTTGAAGGAGGTGCACGTCAGGGGACGGCGTAGGGGACGGCGTAGGGGACGGCGTAGGTGTAGGCTACAGGGCTACGCCGTCGATTTGACACACCGAAGTATAAATTGCACTTCACTGTAATTCAAAAACAATCATCAAAATCTAAAAATTCTCCACCACATGTCGTTTTTTTAGTCATTTGTAAAATCATAATACTTGTGCATAAATTCTTTAGGGCATGTTTGTAATCTTTTTGGTAAATGCTGAAGACCTTCCTAAAAAAGATGATATATCTGCTGCTGGCATGAAAACAACAGCGCTGCAGTTGATACACTCAGCTGTCTCCTAGAAATATCTAACAACTGAGAATATATATTTGTGTTATGTTTATGTTGTTCTGCATTGTTTCAACAGGCACTGTTTCATTTGTGTCACGAACTGAAAAAATGTTGAAGACCATTGTAAGGGCAGTGATGTTAGAAATCTTCAGGAGGCATACACCGTCCGACCAGAAGTCCTCAGAAACTTCTGCGATATGTCAATAAAAGTGTCCTTGAGTAAGACTTTGAACTTCGACTGAGTCGCTCTAAATATGAGCATCAGTTGTGGATGTCTTTACTTAAACAGGCCAATCTCTCTCCCCGGTCAGAGCATGGTGGTCTCAGTCTGCAGGATGGACTGGGCTCTGGAGTTCCTGGGAAACTGAGAAGAGTTTTCGGTGCCGTTTCGGCTCACTGACATGGCGTGCAGCTGGTACTCCCGTCCCACGTAACGCTTGAGAGATAAACTCCTCCACGTCCTCCGCAGCTCGCTCTGGACCTTTTTATACACAAACAAAGAGTTTAGTGTCTGTGAAGCTGAAAATTAATTCACTAAATTATGTCTGGAAACCTGTGTGAGTAGACTCACCTCGCTGTTTAGGAAACAGTAGAGGATTGCCACAATTAGACCCTAAAACACACACACACACATTCACAACTGTTACTGATTAAGCATCATCTTATAGTTCTGCAAAACGAGCTTCAATTTGAAAATAAAATGGCACATTCTGTACTAACAAAAAGGCTCCTGACAATAACTTTCAAGTTTTTGTTTTCAACTGTATATTACCTACAAAACATTAACATTTTAGAGGGCATCTGCACTTAAGAACTGAACATTTGAGCATCAGACTTGGTTTAAAGTCAGACCTTTAAAAGCCTCAAAGTGACCAAGAGATGAACACAAATGAAAAACAAATTAAGACTAAAACAAACAATCAAAAGAGTTCATGTCGGTCCAAATGTGGACAAACTGCTTCAGGAAATGTCTTAACAATTAATACAGATCATACTGTTTATCTACTTTTACGACTTCTAAATAAAACCCTTTAACAATCAATGAAGAGGATCCGGTCTATTAAATATTGAAAAAGTTCTGTCTTTATTCCTGGTTCACCTCCAAGACAACAAACGATCTATTCGACATACCTCAGAAAGTACAAAGAGGTCCACAGTATGCTTTGGTTACTGTAATAATATCTGGAAGTGCTCTGCGGACAGAAGCCACAACCCAACAATATGTTTACCTGGAATGATCCGAGGCCAAGTTCAAAGAAGATCTTGATCTGCTTCATGGTTTTGTCCGCCGGCTTCATCAGGTACACGAACACCACGTAGTTTATCCCAAACAGAGGGATCAGCAGGAGGGTGGACTTAGCCAGGCGTCTACAGAACATAAGACAGAGGTGCGCAGACATCAGGAACCCACAGCTAAAGTAACACACAGTCAGTACTGTGCAAACAGTGTTTTGAAGCGCTTCAGTTATTGACTTTTTTTTTGTTGTTGAGTGTGTTTAATGCATTTTGTTCTTTGTCTCCTCCAAAAAAATGTAGGAAACTGTGTTTATAAAAAAAAAAATCTGGTTTTAATTACCAGAAGCATTCAGGTCTTTGCTAACAGTAACAGGACATTGTTTATTGTAACCCACAGTTTACAGTGTTCTCTAGTAGCAACAAACAAGACACAACATTTACATTTTTAAAACCAAAAACTGCATTTACAGCCAAAGTATGTCAGAATATTTCATGCTTATTGTATGATTAGTAACAGTCACATCTGGCATAGAACGAAGACGGAGTGAGGTGGACTTTATGTTTATTTAAATGTATTATTTATATTTGATAATTAATTAGTGATTTAGCTGACGCTTTTATCCAAAGCGACTTACAATTGCTATATATGTCAGAGGTCGCACGCCTCTGGAGCAACTAGGGGTTAAGTGTCTTGCTCAGAAACACATGGTGGATGTGTTGCAGCGGGAATCAAACCAACGTCTCCCATGCCAAAAGTATGTGTCTTAGGTACTGCGCTATCACCATGGTTGCCTAACGTAATGTAAAAATCAAATAAATAAAAGGTAAAATATGTCCTGGTGTTCTGGGAGCGTACTTGTATTGCGATTGCTCATTTCCTCCGACGTCAGTGCAGCGCAGCTTCTGCACCAAGATGCGGATGATGCTGATGAAGATAATGAAGTTGATCTTGTAGAGAAACACAAAACAGGGAGAAAGAGCCCCGTTAGTAAATGTCTGTCTTCAACACCACAAAGATCTAATTTAGAATACGTGAAATCGTAAAAGTACAACAACGAAATTTAATTTCTTTTTAGAGAACTGATTTTTAAATAAACAGTGGCATCATGTAAACAAACTGGCATTAAAAGGGTTAAAATGATGAAAAATACATGATATGATATTTGGTGTTTATGATCAGGGCAGATGTTGGTCAAAAGATTTAAGTCCCTGAAAGTGGAAAATAATATTAATGTATAATTGTTTTATTGCAGTTTTCTTTTGTCCCTTAACATCTCCAGAGCTATATTTCTTTGTAATATGACACAGCACAAAAAAGTGCATGATCTTTGACATATACCAGGCTCTAAAACATCCACTTTGCATTCATTAAACATTTTTTAAAACTTTTTTTTGTTTTCGCCATTAAGAAAAACAAGGGCACTGTGAAAACAAACTGTCATTTAAAGGGTTAAATTCTGAAAATGAATGATTATTTGGTATTTATGATCAGGGCAGATGTTGTAAGTAATTGAAAGTAGAAAATATTAATGTATAATGTTTTTATAAAAGTGTTTTGACATTGACATACGTCATTATTACCGCGGCACAAGCGCCACATCTTGCTTTGGTGTTCTGACTGATCATCTGCTTGCAAACATGTTTAGAAACAAACTGCTGAATGATTGAACGTTATCTAAACGTTATCTCTGTTTTTAGATGTGATGCCAAAGACCGACGCACATGCACTGAGATATCATATTAAGTTATTAAAATGTCTCCAGATGTTACTGTTGAGTTTACACAGCTGGTTGATTAAAGTCACACAAAAAAAGATGCTGAATGTTAATTGTTATATAGTTTTGTGAATCTACTGTATATGTTTCATAGTTATTTATTTATAGTTATAGTTATTATTATAAATTCCAACTGCAATGAAGTGCTTTAGTTGATAATATAAAATGTGCATTTTTAAATAAAAAAAGTTACTGAACTCTTTAAAAAATTACAGTATTATGATAAGATGTTGGAGCAAAACTCACGATGACAGATGCCACGATGGGCCAGTCGATCAGTCTATTGGGGACAGGGTTGTCGTTCATCTCCCAACACCTGAAAATAAGAAAATAAATCTGTGAAGTTTTTATAGTTTTTTAGTATTTGTAAAACCAGAGCTGGCTTCCTCTTAAGTAAACTAACAAGCTGCTATAATGCCTTCAACAACCATCAAAGGACCGACTCAAAACACCAAATGTCTGTTGCCTAAAGGTTCTCCAAAATGTTTTCTTTTGGGGAAACCAATGGGCCTCATTTGTTAAATTAGTGGTTGTCAAACTGGAAGGCAGGCAAAAGGGTGAGCGAGTAAATCTGATTCATGTGGGAGCCACGAACGAATGAGAGTACTTTCATGCTAGCAAAGGTTCAAGTTAGCAAGATTTTTTTAGAAGAAAAGTGAAGATAATATTACAAAGAATCAAAGATCCCTTTCAGACATATGAACATACTCATACTGTAATCCTATTTATACTGTGAAGGGAAGCAACACTTAATATAATTTCATGAAATCTAGAGGTTGTCAGCCTCTAGTGGCTGACAACAGTGTTTGCATTTTAATAAACAAGAAGGTTGTTTATTAAAATGCAAACATTTTGCAGCTGTGCAGAGCAGGACGTGCACACTCACCTCGTGTCCTCCATGTTTATCCTACATATGATCCACGCAACCATGAAAACAAAAGGGATTCCTGGGAGACAGAGGAGAGAAAAGTCTGTTTAGATTCTCCGTCTGCCAGACACAGAACATCCACACAAGGTGCCACGCAGGGACTATGACGACTACTGTACACACACAGGTACATGAAACAGCTGGCGCTAAATGGAAATGCATTAGTAAGAGGAAGCGTTGGTTAAGTGGTGATGGATGGTGGAAGAAGGTGGCAGCAGCTGAGACAGAACGGGACTGAGAGGCCAGGAGACTGTTTAAGACCAGACCTTTCTTGCAATACACTGATCTGCTTCACCAGCATGATGATGTCTGTCTGTCTGTCTGTGCACGTGTCAATGTACGTGAGTGTTTTTGTACGGTACCACTCTCATGTCCCCGTGTGGTAAATATGAAGCTACAGCTAGTTAGCGTAGTTTGGCACAAAGTAACAAAAGGAAACAGCTACTGTTTTGTTTTTTTGTACAAATCAAACAAACAAAGTGTAACATATAACTTAGTGGGCTTTAGAGCTGCTGGTAGGAGGATAAATTTACCTTTAGCCCGAGCCAGGATTGCTGTTTTCCCGTTTCAAGTCTATGCTAGACTAAGCTAACAAGCTGCTGGCTATAACTTCATATTTGTCATGGTTTTTGTTTATTATTTCCTGTTTTATTTTGAAAGCATCCTTCCTCATCAGTCTTGTGTTACTTTACTTCCTGTCTTTGTGTGTTTCCCCGCCTGTTTGATTGTCTGGGCCTCTCTTTTCACCTGTGTCTTGTTATCACTTGTGTATTTTAGTCTGTGTGTTCCCTTTGTTAGTTGCCGTTAGTTTTTTTTCTGATGCTGCCACTGGTGGGAAATAAAGTCAGACGGTTCTACATATAGTGGCTTTAATCTTTTAAATCTTATTATATATGTACTATTATATATGATGTACTGTACATCATATAAAAAGTGATCAAGACAAGAAAAATAACAACAAGCAGCGTTGGGCGGGCCCTTGCACGTGTAGTGCGTCGAGGTGTGAGGCGGCCATGTTTTGTTAGAAACAGCTTACTTCCTTTTACCAGTGTGTGGCCCTATGACGTTGAGTGAATATTTTCATGTAGATGTTTTCAGGATGGGACTGTTATTGACCATGTAAAGTTTGGTACAGATCTGAGCATTTACACTGAAGTCATATAAATAACTGTTTTAACAACAGGGACGTCACACGTTTCGTGCTCGGGCCCTAATTAACTATTAATAACTAAACTATTGTAATATATAATTAAAGAAAAATCAAAATATTGGTATGCGTTGCAGAATATTTGTGAATAATTTCCATGATTTCAAATACTTTCTACAAATCGTGCTCGCCCTGCTGGAAACAGGCTGTACGAATCCCCTGACTTCAGCCATCAACGTGGTTAGAGAAATGTATTCAGAACCACACTAAGAAAGACCCAAGCTCCTGCTGTTGAGCTGCCTACCCCAGCCGATGAGCATGTAGATGGAGAGGCGGATGGAGTAGTTGTGGATGACGAGCAGCAGCGTGTGCAGGTAGAGACCCTCCACCAGCAGCCAGAAGAAGTTGGCCATGATGAAGTAGTTGAAGAACACCAGACTGGCCTTACAGCCCACCTACAACAACATATTTGTTTTATTACACTCACATGCAACAACAGTAAAGCTGAATGTAATGATAAATAATGTAATGATAAATAATGTAATGATAAATGTTTTTTAAGACATGAATCAAAAAGACGAATAATTAAATATTGAATTTAGATACTAAGACAAAGATTCTCCTGGTTTTTATAGAGAACACAGTAAAGCTTGAAGGAACTGTTGTCATTATACAGATTTGAACAATGAAATTCAGTGGTAGGCCCCTCCATAGTACACATAAACAAATATATATAATAATAATATAACAATAATTTAAATTAGAAAAGAATAAAAATAATAAAGTAGTAAAGTGAATACAAGCAGCCCTATAGGAAGAAATAAAAAGGCAAGCTAAACAGTTATGTGCTGTATATAAATACATACAGATACACATACTTGTATATCTATATTAACATATACATACTGTACATATATATATATACATACATACAATATATTCACATATATACTGTCCGTAGTATACATATACACATGCATATATCTATATACATATATGTACACTGTATGTGTTTATATTTACATATATATACGAACACACATATACATATTAATACATATACATATGGTTCAAACTAATTGTATTAGATCATATTAGACTGTCTATTTTCATTTTAGGAAAGCTCCTCTTAGGAACGGTAAAAATAAATGTGTGTGTGCATGAAGTCACCAGCGATGGCTGCGTGCTGCAGTCTGTGTTTTCATCGGCTGAGAAGAGCAGCGTGTCCTTGGCCAGCACGGCCACGGCTCGCAGCATGAACGACACAAACAAGTTCAGATGGATGTAGTTCCTCGTGCAGTGCAGCCTCCTGCATGTACATACACACACACACACACAGGAATGTGTAGAAGTGTGTTTACAGAGGGTGTCGGGGTGTGAATCCACTGAAGGATGTGGTATCTAAACATGCTGATAGCAGCCGAGTGAACCGCTGGAGCTGATCCAGACTGAGCTGCAGCTTTCATCACACATTTTTACAACACGCTGTTATCTCCCTGAGTACTCTGTGTGTTAGGAGACATTCATGTGTTTAAGAGAGTCTACTGAGGTTTATATTATATATCCTGAGTAAATCCTTAACAAATCCTGAAAGTGTTAGGTTCTAAGGTTAACACCTTTGCACAGCAAGCCTGATGTATTCCTCAGTAAATGTGGGAGACGACTCTAAACTGTCGACCATCATCATACATTTCTATTAAAATAACCTTAATTATCTGTGTTTGCATAGAAAAAAAAAAACTTTAATTAATTTACTTCACATGGGGGAGAAACACATGTGAGCTTAAGATACTGTTTCTGCCAGATGAGTTATAGTTAACTAAATGATAATTGGTCATTTTTGATGTCTTACGTGTGAGGGATGTTTAAAACGAGCAGATCTTGAAACCATTCTTGATGCAACCTTGACATCGATGCTCTTGAAACTCTCTTTCCCAGACAGAATCATCACATCTTATAATGACATACCTCTTATTCTGCAGACTGTGGAGCAACCATGGAGCACTGAACACATCCATTCAACAGATTATATTATTATTATTATTAGTTTTCAGACTTAAGACAGTGTTCTTTTTTGTTTTCACAGCTAGATATGAAAATATAGCTATTTATACCGCAATAAAAATATTTTGAGTATACATTTATATTACAGACAGAAAGTGATCCACAGCCGAACATTCATACATATCCACACAGAGATTTGGGGCTCCTAGGGTTTGCTCAAGGATACTTAGACATGCAGATTGGGGGAGGTGGGGATTGAGCCTAACTGCAACATTTAAACACAGTGATCCGACCTATCTGACGTATTTACTATGTTGCTTTGCTAACGTCTCTGATAAATCAAATCCACCCAAAAGCATGATCTAGTTTTGGATAAGCTCAAGCTTTCATTTAGGAAAATTAGGTCTCCAAATTCATTTAAGTGAAAGTGTTGTTATTAATATTATATGAAAGCATACAACATGCATTTTAGATGAATGAGATGTAAACACTTTGAAATAACATCATGAAAAAAGAAAACATTCATCATGTCGCTGCAATTAAATTGTATATTTTCTACCAGGAAGTTATTGTAAACAAACGATCGGTTCTATAAAGGCATAAACAAAGGACATTAACCTTTACCTAATTTGTTAGAACACAGTGCCTTCGCTCTGGGTTATTTGAAAAAGGTGCGTCTGTCTGTGTGCACACAAACTGTATTTATTTATCTGAGATACCTGAAGATGCACCGAGCATCTGCGAAAAGAATCTCAGTTTGAACACCTTGTCTCACTTGTTTAACCGGCGTGGTCGTGTGAATGGCGGGCGGTGTGTGTGGCGTACGTGTGTCTACCTGAACAAACAGATGACGATGGTGCTGGTGAGCAGAGAGATGAGGGTCAGGCTGTGGCCCAGAGTGGACAGTATCTTCACCACTTTGTAGAAGACCAGCTGGACACACAAACACAGAAAATAAATGTTAAAGGAAAAGCTAAGGCTTGAAAGGCTCCTTAACAGTCAAAGCTCGCCATTTTAATTGCATTCTTTGATTTAATTTTATATTAATCTATCTTATTACATACAAATAGCACTTTAAATACAAATCAAACAATATTTTCCTGTTGTGTAGTCAGCTCTTTAATTTCTGTAAAAACAACACTAAAGTGTAAAACTCTTCTGTTACAAGTGAAAGACCTGCATCAGAATCAGAAACAGCTTTATTAGACATAAACCTATATAAAAATTATGAAATAAACAAGATATACAGGTCATAAAAGATAATAGAGACTACTAGCATTCAAACTTGCTCAGCATCACAATAAACTAAACTATATAAAAATGTTTATTTTAATGTAAATGTACACATTTCTATGTTTACCTAACTGCTCAAATAGTAAATGTGTCAATCAATTAAGTTGCAAATTCATGAATGAACCTGGGAGTGTGTTTGGACAGAACCCAAGCTTAAATTTAAAAAAATTAAAAGTAAACAAACCCTTTTTTCCAGATTAAACTGGTCTTAACATGACAGCTACACACTGTAGGCAGTGGTAGAATAAGTACCTCAAACTTTTACTTTAGTAAAGGAGGTAATAACAGTGTAAAAATATTCTGTTACAATAAAACTCCTGCATTACTTAAGTAAAAGTCTGTTAGTATAGGCACAAAATTAAAGTACCAAAAGTAAACAAACTCATTATGCAGAATGGACCATTTTAGAACAACATATATTATATTACCGGATTATTATTAGAGATGCATTAATGTGTTCATCAGTTTAATGGTGCAGCTGGATAAGGTGGAGCTAATACAATAATATATATCGCAATTTAATAGTTGATTTCTATTAACTAGTAACTGGTGACTGAAGCTGTCAAATAGATGTCATGGAGTAAAAGTAGAAAACTTCAGTAAAGGCAGTCGGTTGAAGCCACTTGGAGGCGCTGCTCTCTGTTTTGTTAATCTACACATTAAACAAATAAAATGGCTGTGTGAACAATTATTGTTTACTTCTCCAACAAGCAAACAAAGCTGCAGCCTGGTAACTGAAGAGATGGAGGAGCCTTGTGTGGTCATTTTGAGAGCTGAAGAGGAGGGAATAATAAAAACCCCGTGGCCAATCAGAAACAAGTATTCTCAGTGTACCTGAAAACCTCCTTTTACCTTTAAAACAGCACACATAAGTCCAGGCACATTTTCCCACACCGCCCAACTGCGAGGAGACTGAAGGACGAGACAGCAGCACTCATTGAGCTTCTGGTTTTTAAGAGTGGAGACGCTCTTTTACAATAAGAGCAGGATTCAGGATGAGTCTGGTCTATGTCAAAACAGCACAAACTCTCCATAAACTCTTCAGGCCGACACACAGAGATGGATCTGGACTTTAGAGTTGTGTATTACTGCTCTATTTCTGTGTGTGTGTGTGTGTCGGTGCCTGGTGTTCATCGCTCTCTCGTCATCTATAAACAACATTCCCCCCGTCTGACACACCATCTGGCGATTAACTGGACATTCACACACTCACGCACTCTCTCAGTAAATATATTTAGACCGTGCATGAGCACGCGCACATTAATGTACACCAACTGTAAACCTTTTCACCTACTGTTAACCACATTTAAATACACTCGCATGGAAACATTTGCATGTGTCAACATTGTGCATGCCTCCCAAAACTATGCATACCAACGTTAAGTAAGTGGTTAACGTTGCTGCTGGCTTAAAGGGACGGCGGCTGGAGCAGGGGCGGCTTTATAGGGGAGGTGGCCTAACTGAGACCACCACTGCTTGTTATGTCCGGGGGGGTAGCTTCATTCTCTCCCGAGATACTTTGGGTTTAGATTTATATTATATGAAGTATTGTTGTTTGGTTAATGTTAAATAAGATTACATTTCTTTTGGAATAAGTTTTTAGTTGGTTTTGCTGTTATTTGTAGTTTATGTAGTAGTGTTGTTGTTGTTAGTCTCCCCCTGTGTGTCAAAATTGGTCTGATCAGCCAGTATATAAGCCCCCTTTGTTTCTCTTGTAGTAGGTCAGTTGTATTTTTGAGTTTTGAGTTCAAAGCTTAAGTTATGTTCTGTTTATTTGACCTTTTTTTTTTTTTTTACAGGCCCAAACCTTGTCATAAATTTTTTGGGAAAATAAAAATTCTCTCGTGACTCCTCCCGCCTGACTGCTTGGTCCCTAACACGTCGTTTTTCTGGTGAGGACAGTCTCTTATTACACATTGACATGTTCATTTCTAAACAAGCACATTTGTACTTCTATATATGCGAGGAGCCTCATTAACATCATGCATGCCCCCGGCAGCTAACTCCATTCTTAACCTTGACAATAAAATCAAACCTCTACAAACCGCAGCTGTTACCTTAAAGGGGACCTATAATGCTGCATTTCCAGCCTTATATTATAGTTCTATATTTTCTATCTTATACTGCCTATATCCAATCTTGTTTGACGCAGCACTTTCTTGGCGACATATTGAACAACTTTAAATTCTACTTCAAAAGGCCGGCGTGTCGCGCTGAGCGGTATAGACAGACTGAGCGTAGCGGTTGCCAGGAGGATAGAGCTGCGTGCAACTGACCCTGGAGAACTGTCTCCTTATTTTAAATATATTTACCATTATTTGAAGCTTTGGCCATGTTTAACATGAACATCCGACAGCGTGACATTATAGATTTGACACAATAGGTCACCTTTAATCTAAAACTAATTCTAACTTTAACCCCAAATTTTTATCCTCAAACAACAGGACCAGCCAAAATGTCTCTCTTTGCAATGATATCGTGACTCGCAAGGTACAAACTCTTAACTGGTCCTCATAAAGATCGATGTCAAAGAGCACTCACACACAAACAGTGAAGTTGAAAGTGCTGTACATCCACTTCTGCAGCTGCTGTACTTACATCATCTCGAGACACTTTACTTAAATATTTCTATTTCTGGAGACTTTCTCCTCTCTGTCCTTCTTTCCATATTTCTTTTTTCATCCTTTGTCTTGTCCTTCGTTGTCTCTGCTTTTCCTTCTCACATTTTGTCTTTCCTTTGTTTTTGTTTTATAACTCTTGCCTTGTTTCTTCCTTTTATCTGTTTCATTTGTTCCCTCTGTTCTATCCTGCTTTAGTCTTTCCTTCCTTCTCACAAGGTTTACAAAAATCCATCAATCTTCAGATTTGGGGATTTTCATGTCAATGTACACCGATCAGCCATAACATTATGACCCCTGACAGGGGGAGAGCGAAGGCTGGCCCGCGTGATCCGATCCAACAGACGCATTAGTTGTAGGTCAGACTGCGGAAAACGTTGATGCTGGTCAAAACACACAGCGCACACACAGTGGAGTCAGGGCTTCGACTGGTCAGGGCTGTTTTGGGGCGGCAAATGTGAGACCTACAATTATGACCAGCAGGTGGTCGTAAAGTTAATCGGTGTACATCAACTGACCCCGACTGCTTTCTAATTTCCACACATTTGCATATTTCTTTAACTTTAAAGCTGCTGATATTCTCTATAACATTAAATATTCATTATTACAGTGAGTGCACAACAATTATAGTTAAAGTTGGAAAGAAAACACCCTAAGCTGTTAATCATTAAGAGGTTAAAACTCAGCTAATCTGCTGCATCAGGTGTGTGTGTGTGTGTGTGTGTGTGTGTGTGTGTGTGTGTGTGTGTGTGTGGTGTGATCAGGAACACATGCCAGCGGCCTGGCAACATGAATAATCAAAAAACTGTTGTCACATTTGACTTCAGACACTGCTAAATCCTTCTTTAGCAACAGAAATATGTGGCATCAACTTTTCCGCAGAAATCTCTGATGTGAAATATCTGTTGTAACTTCTAAGAAGGGCCTTTAAGAAGTGAACGCAGAGTAACAGAGTATTTTTCCACTGAGGCATTACTACTTTTACTTAAGTATAAAGAGGTTCAGTACGTCTTCCACTCTCGGTCTGTCCGCTATAAATACGCACACACATACGCAAACAGACAGTCACAGCCTGGCATCCGTGTCTCATTCCTGAGTTTGATTGTCAGGCCGTCTGGCTGGGAGCTGATGACCTGCTGGCTTTGGTCTGCTGCAGCCTCACTGCCTTCTATGTCCAAACACACCTCTGTCCATAAACTCTGGCTCGCTCGCTCTTTCTGTCTTCCTCTCTGACACCAAAGAATTAAAGCGATGTTGAACTTTAGGCTGAACAGCTTCCTGGCCATGATAGAAGTCTAAATCTGGTGCACTGTCTTTTTCTTCTGCTCCTGTGCGCTGTGTATTAAATAAGACCGACTCATGGCAGAGACCAGAGGAATGGGAAGACCATGACCGAAATCGTTTTTGTGACCAGGATTTAAAATTTACACAATTTTCTCTGTAATCTTTCAAACAAAAAGAAAAAATTATTTACAAAGAAATGCACAATCATTATAGTTAAAACAGAGGGGTTTGGGTTCAGTTTCTAAGTTCCACTGACAAAAAACCTTTAGCGTTCTGGTGTTTAAGTGGTCTTCTAACCGTGTGACAACCGTTTGGGGCAGGCCCTTTCCTGTTTGTGACAATGCCCCCGTGCAAAATGTATGTGCACACAAATGAGGTCACTGCTGTACGTTTAAAATGTAGAAAATTTTTTTAGACGTGTAAAAGCATACGTTTCAAAGTATAACAAATTGCCCAAATAGTAAATTTGTCACACAATTAAGTTACAAATTCATGAAGGAAGCTGCAAGTGTATTTTTCATTTGTTAAAATCTTTAATTTCTAAAACAGTTAAGTGAAGCTGGTAAAGGTGGGGGCTAATTTTAATAACTTTACATACTGCTAGGTGGTGTAATCTATACTAATACATCATAATTTACTACTTGGTTACTTTTTTTGTAATAATAACACAAATCTGCAAAGTAACTACTGCAGTAAAAAGCTGTCAAATACATGTAGTGGAGTAAAAAGTACAACATT